GTTACGAGCACTCGTGAAGGATTGACTCGTCATTAATGGTCGTATATCCATGGACACGAAAACATTCTGCAGTGAGAAGAGTGTAACTGCGGGTCTTTAGTGGAGTGACCCGTAGTTAACGAATGTTGATTAACTCGGTCAATGAGTTTGACCGATTAATCTCGTATCGTTGGAGCTACGGATCTGTAGGTCCATTAGGTCCCCTTACTAGCTCATAACAGGTATAACGAGGATCAAGTTTTTGGAAGAATTTGAACTGTTCAAATTTCTTAAGGGATTATATGTATATTGATACATTATAATATATAGTTAATTCTAAATTAAAACTATATATTATGAAAGAAATTATTTGAATGAGATTCAAATAAAATTAATATGAATATGATTCATATTAAAACTATAGGTTAAAAATTAATGCACATAAGATGTACATTAAATCTATAGGTTATACAAGAGAGAATATGGTTTAATTAAATATGAGATATTTAATTAAATGTTAAATAATTAATTGTTAATTATTTAATATTACATTTTATTAATATTAATTATTTATTAATTTGATTAATAATTATTTAATATTACATTTAATTAATTAATTATTAATTTGATTAACAATTATTTAATATATTAATTATATTAATATTAATTAATATAATTAATTATTAACTCCCCTGCATTGAGTGGTAACTCCCCACATCACTGTTTTTTCTGGGAAATTTTGCAGAAACGTTCTGCAAAAACAGAGCAATAGAAGAACTCTCATCTCTCTCAAGCTCTCTCAATACTCCCTCTCATTTTCAAAACGAGGTGCTCCCACAAGCACGGTCTCGAGACCCAAGAGGATAGCGAGGAAGACACAGTGGTGGTGTTCGGGTGGAAACCGTTGAATAAACGTTCTTCAAAGGTAATGTTTTCCTCTGTATTTTCATCTTTAACGGTTTTGATTTTGTTTCCCAAATGTCACGAACAACAGTCCGCTTCCGCTCCGGGATTCACATCCCTTCACACGGGACATTATCCATTTGTATATCAGGGGTATATCAAACATATATCTCGTATATCAGGGGTATATCAATTATATACCCAGTATATCAAATATATACCTAGTACATATACTGTCCCGGTTACACTAAAATAACCTCGGATGTTTAGTTTATTGGATTTTGGACAATGCAATGCTATGAATTCAACAACAAATTTATTGAATAAAGCTTTATTGAATATACATCTATTTTTACATAAATACAAACTACGAGTTTAGGGCAACACACCCAACAAGAGCGACATTGGGAAGATGATCCTTTGTCTTTAGACTTAGTTTCAGACTTCCCTTTTTCCTAGCCACCTGACTTCTTCTGGTCGGACCTCTTGTTCGCTCGACCCAGCTTGGTTCTAAGCAGCTCCTGCCCGTCTATAACCTTATTGGCCTTCTGCAGGACCTCAGTGAAGGTAGATGGCGCCTCCTCGCCTAATTTGACTGTCAAAGTCTTGTCGGCCAGGCTGGTAAGGAAGTAGCACATGGCCGAATCGTCGGAGCAATACGCGACTTTAAGCTGCTCCTCCTGGAAGTGAGTCACATACTCCCTCAAGGTCTCACCTTCTTTCTGTCGGATGGTGGCGAGGTGAGTGACAGTCTTTCTGTCATAATGCCGAGAAGAGAATTGGCTAATAAACTCTTTCCTCAGCTGGTTGTAGGTCGAGATTGACCTTGTTGGCAGCCTTCTGTACCAAAGYCGAGCGCTCCCCGTGAGAGCGATCTGAAAAGCTTGGCACTTAATGGCATCTGATGCCGCCTAAAAGTTCATGAGGCCTTCAAAGACCTCTACTTAGTCTTTTGGGTCCTTAGACCCGTCATAAGGCTTCATGGCGAGTGTTTTGAACTTTAGAGGAATAGGGGCCTCCAAGACATCCGAGGTGAATGACGACTCACCCATCTCGTCATTATCGAACGGGCTCTCCTTTTTCTCGCATTTAGCTTTTAGTGCCTCGACCTGCTCATCAAACATGTGTTTCATCAGGTCGAACTCTTCCCTCGTAATCACAGCCTCCGGTGTCAAAGGTGTGTACTTCGACTGGGTCTTGAGGTCGTAGTTGGAGTATCCTCAGAGCATGATGGGGAGACCCTTGGACCCCGTGAGGCTTTCCTCTTCTTGTCGACGAGGTGCTTCCTGAGATCGTGATCTCTCAGGCTATAGTCAATCCCCTCGTTATTAGTGATGGGTTTGTGATCATCGTGATGGAGGGGTGGATCTTGATCTTCCTCATCATCCGGCATGTCGTCTCCGCCTGGGACTTTGGAGGGAGATCTTGTCCGGTTGACCCGCGTCATCTCGGTGTATATTTCCTCCATGGTGCACACTCGATTGCGCATGTCATCTAACTCCCGTTGGAGGGTAGCCAGAACTTCAGAGTCCACGACTGGGGTAGCCCTTCGGGAGGTCTTTTTTGAGGTCCCACCTTGACCTCGGTTGGTTTTAGTAGGTCTTGGGTGAGCAGGAGGTAGTTCCTGATTCGTGTGGCGGGTGGATCTCCGTGGTAGGTCTCCCTCTTGTCCTGCTCGGACCTGGTCCTCGACTGCTTTGGCATCGAGTTCGCGCTGAGCGCCATTGTTACCGTTAAGACATCTCCGTTCCGTCGTATTGGCAGAGTTCGCTAGCTGCACCATCCTCGGATCACTTTTTAATTGCTGGGACGACTTGAAATGTCCTTCCCCACAGACGACGCCAAATGTTGATACAAGGATTTGCACAACGATTATTAAGCTCGAACCCGGTCCTAGCTCCGACCTGAAAGACAATGGGAAGACCTGCACAAGAGGGCAAAATCTCCGACGCTCAAGTCAGTAAGCAGCTCGGACTCAATATTAAGTTCGAGGGGAAATTTGATACCTGATGGTGAAATGAGGCCCTCTATTTATAGGTTTAGATTCTGATAGGGGTCACAACAGGCGGTTACCTTGGTCGGATTTGAGGTCGGATGTGTCGGGTTCGAACAGATCGAACTCAGACACTCTCTAAGTTACAAATTTATTGGGAGCGACTAACTTCCCAGCTCGGAAGGTTCCGTGGAGGAGCCTTGCTGACTAGCTCTTCTGGACAACCTTTTTGACAACCAATCTTCGTCCTCCACGTGGCGATCAGATATTTTATCTCCAAACACTCTGTTATGTGCTTTAAGCTTGCTCAATACATAGTATGACCAGGATTGCTCTGCTACGTGTCTTGAGCTTGCTCGATACGTAGTATGACCAGATTTGCTCTGCTATAGATTTTTATGTTGTTCGATGTCTAGTATGACTAGTTTTGCTGTGCTACACATCTTGAGGTTGCTCAATGTATAGTATGACCAGTTTTGCTCTGCTATACATCTTGGGATTACACGATGTATAGTATGACCATTTTTGCTCTGCCATGCATCTGGGATTACTCGATGCATAGTATGACCAGTCTGCTCTGTGCATAGTGAGATATTACTTTACGCCAGTATGACTAATTTCGAGTATGGATTGATGTGTTTTCCTAGCCATGACTATATCAAGATTGATAAAAAAAGAGAGTATTGAAGTTGTAGACAATACTAAAGCTGTAATATCTGATATTACAAACACCATCAACACTTGATTTTTCCGGAAAATAGGATTGCCTTCCTTGTCATCATTGCCTCCTGGAAATGTGATCGCCGCCACAAAAACTACTGTTGCAATGCAATGAGGGTTGCAGATCTACCTGAGGAAGGGCTTGGCATGAAGACAACCCTGGCATTGTCTATTTTTTTAGTCCTTAAACCTGCCTCCAATTTATGGAATCGAACCTCAGCGCCTAACAAATTTTGTTCAACCTATTTTTGTTTTAAAAAATATTCTCAGTTTATCGGCTTTTTTTCTCTAATATATTCAATTTTTCCCGTTTTTTTCTTAAATATATTCAGTTTTCAACCTTTTTTTTTAAAGTATATTTACAATTTCAGACTATTTTTGTTTTTAAAAATATATTTTTGTGAAAAAGAAATATATTTTTATTTAAAATATTAATTAGTCGCTTAAATTAATGAGTTTGTTATATAAATTTGTTATTTAGTTTGACTCCTTATGTGTAGTCATGTACCTTCTACAAGTTGTTAATTAATTTGTTTAGGTTGTTATTTAGTTTCAATTTGTATCACGTGCCTTATTATAAATAGCTCATGTATCCTTCAATCAAAATACAGAAGTTACTCACACTTTGCTTGAGTTGTTTTATGGTATCAGAGACCGTCCTTGCGTTTTTTTTCTCCACCATGTCTTCCTCGAGTGCAACCCTTCTTCTCTTGTTAACTCTTCTATAACTTCTTCTCCTTTGTTCCTGCTTTCGAATATTTGTAATCTTGTTCCAATCCGTCTTGATGCCACCAATTTCGTGCTATGGAGGTTTCAAATTACTCCAATCCTTAAAGTACACTCACTTTTTTGTCATGTTGACGGTTCGATCCCGGCTCCAGAAAAGTTCGTTCGTGGTTCTGATAATTCCATCACAAATCAAGTTAGTCATAAATTTATTAATTGGAGTACTCGTGATCAGACTCTTATCACTTTGATAAATGCTACGCTTTCTCCTTCAGTCATTGGGAATGTGGTTAATTGGAACAACTTCATCTTGTGAGTTGTGGACGTCTCTCGAAAAGCAATATGCTTCTCATTCTTGTTCCAACATCCTTGAGTTGCGATCCGAGTTGTACACAATCAAGAAACTACCTTCTGAATCAATCGAGATGTATATTCGACGAATCAAAGATATTGTCGATAAACTTGTTGCATCTCATTTCAAATTGATGATGAGGAAAACTTGATCCACATTCTCAATGGGCTTACATATGATTTTAATGATTTTCGCACATCAATTCGCACTCGGAAGGATCTTCTCACTCTTGAGGAACTTCATGTGATGTTCAAAAGAATGAACTCTTGCTCAACGGGCTAAGATTTTGCTCAACGGGCTAAGATTTCTGATCTTATTCCTACTGCGATGGCTGCTTTTCGAGGCCATCAGAATTTTAGAGGTGGACACTTTAATCGAGGTCGTGGTAACTATCCAAGTACCCGTGGAAACAATGGCGGTAAAGGTAAGTATCCAAATTCTAATTCCTTCAGGCGAGGTAATTCTCAACCCTTTATTTCTGGGTGAACTGGTCATGGTTCACCTAATGGTAACTCTCTTCAAGGGGGACGATGTTTTCTGTCAAATTTGTAACAAGCTTGGTCACACTGCTCTTGATTATTATAACAGGATGAACTTCTCCTATCAAGGTCGTCATCCTCCGACTCAATTGGCTGCAACAGTAGATGCTATGTCTAATGGTTCTTCTACTAAATCTCCTTCCTTTTGGTTGACAGATGGTGGGTGTAATCAAACGGGTTGACTAATTTGAATCTTATGAATAATTATAATGGTGAGGAAGACACAGTTGCTATTGGAAATTGGCAAGCTATGGCAGTTACTAATACTAGCAGTGGTATTCTTCATATTTCTTCCTATGACTTTCACCTTTCCAATAATATCCTTCATTCTCCCACCGTTGCCTCAAATTCGCAATTTGTTTATCAATGTTGTCATGATAACAAATCGATCTGACCGACTAAAACCGACTGAATTGATGTCGGTCGGTCGATTTGATGAATAAATTGGTCAGAGTTGATTTTTTAATTACCGACATTCTTTAAAATTATTTTTTATCTTTATTCAAATTTATTACCTATTCCTTCAATCTCTTTTATTTCTCTTTTCGTTTCCTTATCCTTCATCCTTCACCTTGCCGCCAGAAACTTTCTTTTTCATCTTCGTCTTCCAGCCTTCTCATTCTTCTTCCTAATCTTCTTCTTCATTTTTATTTTTTCTGTCTCTAGAATCGCACAGAAACTTGCCTACATGTCTCCCTCCACTTCTTTTTCTTATGTGCAGAAGCCCCACCGTCGCTTCTCCACCGTCACTCAAGCATCTTAAAAAAAAGTACTACAGAAACCGACCGACCGAACCGACTAGTGGTCAGGAAAGTCGATTTCCATGATAGGAAACAGACTAGGTCAGTTTTCGACATCGGAGACAGCAAAAAACCGATCCTGACCGACTGATGCTCACCCCTAACCGGAAGATCTTGTACCAAGGCAAGAGTGGAAATGACTTATATCCCATTCCATGTTCCTTGGCTTTATCAACTGCGTCATCCAATAATTATGCCTTATTTGCAAATAAGGAGCCTATTCTTTGGCACTGGTTCTTACTCTACTTGCAAGTGTACTAGTTGTCTAAAGGCTAAAATGTCAGAACTCACTTTTCCTTTGTGTCAATCATTCTCTACTTTCCCTCGTGCATAGTGATGTATTGGGGCCTTTGCCTGTGATCTCACTAGCTGGTTTTCGATATTATGTTAGTTTTGTCGACAATTTTAGCAAATTTACTTGGATCTTTCCTATGACTTATAAATCTGATGTTAGTCATATCATTAAAAAATTTGTTCCTTTTGTTGAAAATCTTTTATCTACTAAATTAAAAAAATTTCGAACTGATAGGGGTAGAGAATTTGTCTACTCTTCTGTCTCTTTGCTTTTTGAATCTAAGGGAGTGTTATATAAAAAATATTATCCATACACTCTTGAGCAAAATGGAGTCGCTGAGCGTAAGCATCGCCATATAGTTGAAACAACATTGTCATTGCTTTTTCATTCTTCTGTCCCCCTAACCTTTTGGTTTCATGCATTTTCTATTGCTATATTTCTTATCAATCGCATGCCTACTACTTTATTGAACTTTATGTCACAATTTGAAAAACTCTTTTGGGTACACTTTTGATTTACTACATTTAAAAGTTTTTGGGTGTACATGTTATCCCTGGTTAAAATCCTACAACGACCACAAACTTGAACCCAAAACTTCTTTAACATGTTTTTCTTGGTTATACACTTGATAATAAAAATTATCTTTGCTATGATTTAGAAACAAAGAAGACCATTTTATCTCAATATGTTACCTTCCATGAAACTATTTTCCCTTTTGCTAACTTTTCCAATTCTTCTTATTCTCCTTTTTATCCTTCTTATAACTCATCACTTTTGCTTTCCCAATTGATTCATATGTCTTCGCCTCCCATTCCTCAATAGAGGCTCATATTTCTCACCCTTCCAATCCTCCTCAACAACCTAATGACTCTTTAGCTCCCATTATCACACCTTCTATTATACCTTCTATTATACCTTCTCCACCACTTGATCCTTCTCAACACACTTTCTTCAATACCTCTGTCAGCAGCATATCTAACACCCATCCCATGCAAACGCGTTCCAAGTTTGACATTTCTAAAAAGAAGGCATTTCACTCATTTGTTGCTTCGGATGTTCCCAGTGATCTTGCCTCCTATTCTGTTGCATCCAAGTATCCTGAGTGGCGTGCAGCCATGGCAGAAGAGTTTGCCGCTCTTCAAGAGCAAGGTACATGGTTGTTTGTTGCACAGACTGATGGCATGAATGTCGTTGGATGTAAGTGGATCTTTCGCACCAAATATCATCTTGATGGCACAATTGCTCGGTATAAAGCATGTTTGGTTGCTAAAGAGTATCACCATGTTGAAGGATTTGACTTCGATGAGACATTTAGTCCTGTTATCAAAAAGCCAACTATTCGTATTATTTTAACTCTTACTGCCACTTTTGGTTGGAGTTTAACTCAATTGGATGTTAAGAATGCTTTTCTACATGGTCATTTGAAGGAAGAGATTTACATATCTCAACCACCCGATTTTATTGATTAGTCTTGTTCTTCTCATATTTGTAAGCTACACATAAGTTTGTATGACCTTAAGCAGGTTCCTCAGGCATGGTTTTGTTTTATGTGGACAACATCATTGTTACAGGCCATGATAATGCTTATATGCAAACTTTGAAGAATGATTTAGTTACTGAATTTCAAATTTCCGATCTTGGTGAACTTAAATACTTTCTTGGTTTGGAAATTCACAAACATTCTTCTGGACTATTTGTGAACCAAGCTAAGTATCTTACTGATTTACTTACTAAGTCTGGCATGCTTAATGCCAAAGCTTGTGCCACTCTTATGTCCCTACCATGGATTTCGTTACTTCAACTCCTCATTTCTCTAATGTATCCTTATATCGACAACTTGTGGGATCATTACAATATCTTACTTTTACTAGACCGGATATCGCTTTTGCAGTTAATAAAGTAAGCCAATTTCTGCAGAATCCTTCTACAATCCATTATACTACCGTTAAAAGGATTCTCCGTTATTTGTGTGGCACGAGGGATCTTGGTGTCTTGTTTCGTCCAGGAGATTTATCTCTTACAGCCTACTGTTATGCTGACTGGGTCCATGATGCTCATGATTGTCGCTTAACGACTGGTTTTGTCACCCTTCTTGGTAGTAGTTCTATTTCTTGGTCTGCCAAAAAGCAACAAATAGTTTCTTGATCTTCTATTGAGGCAGAATATATATCTCCGGTGATCACTGCGGCTGATCTTTATTGGCTACGTCAGCTCTTTTGTGATCTTCACATTTTCCTCCAAAATCCTTCTGTTTTATGGTGTGGTTATGTTTTAGTTATTTCTCTTGTCAGTAATCCAGTCTTTCATGCTCGCACGAAGCATATAGAGGTTGATTATCACTTTGTTTGTGAGAAGGTGGTTCGAAAGGATTTGTGGGTTCGTTTTGTATCTTCCAAAGAACAACTTGCAGACTTGTTTACCAAGGCTTTGACTGCCTGTACTATTCTCTCTCATGGCAAACTTATGTCATCTTTCTGACATAAGTTTGAGGGGGTGTAATAGGATTAATTATTTATTTAATTATTAATTAGTTGCTTAAATTAATGAGTTTGTTATATAAATTTGTTATTTAGTTTCAATTTATAATAGGTGACTTATTATAAATAGCCCATCTATCCAATCAAAATTCCGAAGTTACACACACTTTGCTTGAGTTGTTTTAGTCACTTTCACACGTCACAATAGTTGGCGATTTCTCTTCATCTTCTCTAGCGTTTTGGGTGTCGGATTTTTTTGCAGATTTTTTTTTCGAGGTAAAGATTTTGTAGATATACTTTGGTATAAAACAATGATTTCCTCAAATTTTCACTCTATAAAAAAACGTGACCTCATTCAACTTGACTCATATATAAATTGAACATATTCACGTTGGTTTGAGTTTGTATGAAAATCGATCTGACTCAACAAAGTTACACCTCTAGTGAAAGTGAAGTTGTGGACAAGTCTCCCTCGAGATAAGTGAGAAGAAGAGATTAGAAAAAACGTGAGTTGGATTGGATTGGATCTTCTCGAGACAAGTAGACAAGGGAGAGGCACACTTAAAATACAAAACGATAGATGAAATTCAGGTTTAATCTTAAAACCGACACCAAATTGAGCCATTTGAATTTATAATTTAATCGAACCGAACCAAACCGCCACATTAATTAGATAGCAGAAATCGGTAGGCTCGGTTCGATTTAGTTATGCACCCGAGTCATCCGTCTTCCCGCTCTCTTTCCCCTTCTTCAACCAAGCCATAAATTCGT